CCTTTACTATCTACAAGTCTTAATGGCATACATTCATTAGAAAACCTTGACACCACTTCTTACATTACAAGATAGAATTCTCCTTTGAATACCTACTTCGAACATCTAAGTTATAACAATAAAAATATGAAATAGAGTCATCAAATAGATTAATAGACTATGAAGATTACCCTCGTAATATTTAATTACATCTCACCAACAAAATCATAATCTCCACCGATCAACATCCTTCTCAAACTTTTACTTAACATACAACACAATCTTTAAACATAGTTCCAAAGGAAGAGACAAGTAAATCAGATGGTCATTTACTTTGGAAAGAAAAGGGTTTGAATGAATGAGTTACTTGGCTCTTCCCAAGGTGGTTTTTTTTTTTTTTTAATTCAAGGCTTTTCACATTGATATTACCCTTGCTTTGAACAATCATAGCACCTCAATACTTCCAATCTATCCCACCCAAAATTAATCTAACAATCATGAGCATTGATGTTGTACTCTAGCTTTACCAAGTTCGCAATAATTCCTTAAATTTCCAACAAATGACAATCTTGCAAAACGCAAACTACTCCGCAAACCCCATAAGCCAACCACAACAACTTGAGATTCGACTACCATGGCTCTTTTCCTCAACAAAAACTAGAGATAGCCTTTAAATCTTTCTCCTATCTCGAGCCAATTCCTAATAAACACTCTTTTTAAAAAGAAGAAAGTTTCAGTTCTCTACTTTCATTCTTCAATGAAAATTACCCTTGAATTCGAAAATTTCCAACACTTTTCTCATAACAATCCAAAGAATTTAGCCTTAAAGATTGCAAAGATACAAGCAGGTATATGGACTGAAGAACATAAACTCACGAATCAGTAGAGAGAGAAAAAAGAGTATAATAGAGAATGAACTATAAAACATGCAACCACGTATTGAGATGACAACAGACTGAGAACGCATAAAAATAAAACCTTTTGGGTAAATATTGTAAAAGAAAATGCTTAGCAGCCTCAATCCTTCGCCACAAATGTGATCATTGGCCCCCACACACAAAAGGCAATAAAGAATAGATATAACTATGTTTTGGGGAAAAAGACCACAGAACTTTATGATTAAAAAAATATATTTAATTAACTCAGGTACAAAGAATTGCACCAAAATGAACAAATAACATTCGATTGAGGCATCAATTTAGCGAGCATTGAAGAAAGATATCAAAATCAGGTTGTGGATAAGAAGACATAAATTTTATACATCAAACACATATAAAGCAAATAAATTACCCTTTTATGGCCAAAAATTCCAAAAGAAAAATTGAAAAGAAAAGTAAAAAAGAAGAGAAACAACAATAGCAAAAATTTAATTGTGTAAAAAAAGTCATAATATTAGGTCTAGAGTTGCCTTTAGAAGGCTCCACTTCGTCAAGCATTATTGCTAAAAAGAACTGAACTTAAATAGCAGAACTGAAGCTGCTACTTCTCATGTATAATTATGGGGGAAAAAAATGTACACCTTGTAAAAGAGAAAAGCAGTCACCTTCACAAAAATTTTCTCTCAGCATCTTAGTTACATGAAACTAAGTTTTGCCACATGGCCCCTTCCACTCATTTGAGGCATGTGGGATTGAGATGGTGAAGAAGAGGTTGGACAAGATGATTTTCATAATGCTAAAATGGGCCAAAACTTTGCAAGGAAGAGCAAAATGGTCACCTCTTTTTAATGCCAATGCAAATAAAAATTGAAGCAACAGACTTTTTAGTTTAGAAGTAGAGTATCCGTACATCAAATAGTTAAAATGTGATCAATACAGCACAAAAAAATATAGAAATGTTTTGAGTAACTATTTTGGGCCTATAAGAAACTAATACATTCTAAAGAGGACATTCCTCAAGGAAATAACTGGTCGAAGAAAAGACCTATTAGTATGTCCAAATAAATACAATAACTGATTACAAAACCCAATTAAAGACGACAGGACTCTGAACACACCTAGATACTCCCTGAGGCAAAGGCAGAGCAGTTCTGTTTGCCTGATTCGGTGGGCCACTGGGAGGAATTTGTATCTGTGTCTGGCTGAGCTGTTGCTGGGACTGCTGACCTTGCTGCTGCTGTGGCTGTTGCTGTTGTTGTTGCTGCTGATGCTGTGTATTGCCAGACTCCATTGTTGAAGGTTTTGCCACTGCACCTTGATTAATAACATTGGGACCTTGTGAAAACATAGATTTGTCTGTTTGTTGGGAAGCAGCATTTCGTTGCTGATAGAATTTGTTGGAGGAACCATATGCATACGAATGTAATTGTTGTATCTTCTGAAGGACTTCTTCCACGGGAGGTGGAGGTCCTGATTGCTTTGCATGCCTGTATCGGCAATCAGGACCATTGGGACAGAAACCCAGTTTGTACCTGCAATCACGTACTTCTATTAACAAGAGAGAAATACGAGAACATGAAAGGAGGATAACATATCTTCCGGAAAAAAAAAGGAAAAAACGAGAAGAGGAAACAAAAGAGTAAAAAGAAAAAGCAAGTTTCAGCAGAGGATAAAGCCCAATCTCTTTGCAGCATAGTCACAGAAATATTTCCAGAATACTCATGCATCTTAGCCCAAGGAGATGCCAGAAAGTTCACATCTCGCCAAAAGAAGCAAAGGAGGGAAATAATAATCTTTTATCCAGCCACAGCACCCATAAACCAGGAAAAAAAAAACTGTACAAGTAACCTTTCCTCCTTATTCTTCTATCAAAACCCCAGTGACAAGAAAAATTAAAACACTCAAGAGAAGAGGGAGATACCCATTTAACACTGAAAACATCAAACAACTTAGCTAAAAGCCTCGAAAAATGTGGGTAATGAGAATTGGCCGTCCCATAGCACATCATATTCACATCCAATGAAAGAGCAAAATTTAGCTTACACATACTTACACCCATTCTCTACCATTAAAACGAGAATTGAAAACCTCTCCTAGAAATTCAAGTTGTCCTTTGTACACTAAGCTGTAAACACATATATTTCTACAAGCATAAAAAAGAACATGAATAAGCTTAGCAAAAAATAAACTTAATTACCGAATGCCTGCATGAGAATGAAACACAAACAATCAGATACATACCAGAACCATGAAAGTAGAACCGATATCCAGTGCAAAAGAACACAAACTTATAATTGCAGATGATGTATATAGCATATTGTTTCAGATGAAAAACAACAGCATAAGCTGGATCACTGCACAATATTCATCTTAGTCCAAATCTTGTTAGAAAGGAAACCAAGAAGTGAACCAGAACCACCTATCCTACTGTTAGTCAAAGTATTTATAACTGGGAATCCAATAGCAATCAACTCCTCTTTTTTCTTTTAGATTGAGATGAGAACTTCAGAACTTCCATTGACAAGCGCAAAATGAACCAGAGAAAAAGAAAACAGAGTTAAAATTCATCAACAGCATGACCAACACAAATTTGTAGACATGAAAGTGTCACTTGTACATACATGTTACACTCTTTTATATCCTCGTTCGTGTGCTTATACACGCAATCCTGCTCACGGCACTCCCCGTAGAGGCGAAAAAACCGGCAGACTGGCATCCGGGCCTTGTCGTACTGATGGAGGAATCCACAGGCGTCGCCCTTCATGCAGAGACTTCGGAGCCAGTGCCGGCAGACTGTCTGCCGGAAACTCCGCCTGCCGGACGGATTCGCAGCCGCTGCAACTACAGCAGGATCAGCTGAAGCCCCTGCTGAAGCAGCGGAGGCGACGGCGGAATTAGTGGCGGCGGCAGCAGTTGACGGGTCAGAGTGCACGACGGGCATAGAAGCGGACGGGTTGGTGGGACCGGCGTCGAGGCCGCCCTCAAAATCGAAGCTGAGAACTCCTTCCGAATCCTCCATCGTTGCGGCGTTTTAGAAAGCGAAACTTCTTGGTTTTAGGGCTTTTTACGGAGATACATGAACTGATTGCGAGAGAAACCAACTCGTTTGCATAAGATTTTGAGCTTGTTTTACTTTCTTTTCTCTTTTTTTTTTTATCAATTGAGTTATGGATTATGATCAAGGCTAGCCTTGAAGAGAGGTTTCTGATCAGAGGTAGCACACTGATAATCGGGTCAAAGTCCCATGGCTGGTTTTCGGGTCACCATGCCAGAAAAAATTGAAACCAGCGTTTCATCAAAAAGTAATTTTGGCAAATAATTATCAAATTATTTTGTAATTTTTATTTTCTAAATTAATATTTTGAAATATAAAAAATTATTATATTTATGAATTAATTAAATTATAAATTAAATAATTTTCTAAAAACGCTAGAATTTTAAAAGCATTATTTTCACTATTATTTTTTGACCAACTTATATATTACTATATGAAAAAATATATATGAACAACAAAATTATATTTGAGGTAGAGTTTCGTAAATAAAAAATAAAATTCAAAAGATAAATAGAAAATTTTAAGAGACGAAAATTTTATCAACAATGTTAGAATGTCATGATAAATAATCGATAATTGTAAATAAAAATTGAGTAATTTATTTGAATAAATTATAATACGATATATTAAAAATAATAATTTTTTACGTCGAAATACTTTATTCTAGAGAGAATATAAGTTTTATTAATTTAATGAGTACTATATCCTAATATTGTTGTATTGAAACAATGATAATAGAACTGAATATTAATAATAATAAAATTAATAATGATGATATTAATATTAATGAGATAAAACGATAATTAAAAATTTAAAAAAATTAAATTTATTAAATTTGAAAAAAAAAACATAAAGTACGAAAAAGGAAGAAGCTCCGGTGACGGCAGCGCCGCCCGCGATGGCAATCCGCCTCGGATTGGCTGTTTTCGGCCGAATTCAGCCAAAATTGCATCAGTTCCTGTGAGAAAACACACTTAGGGTACTCGGTGGGCCGAAAAAACGTAGAAAACCAAAACTCACCAGCGGTTGAGCTCTCTAGTGCGGCGGCTCTTCCGGCTCACGTTGCAGTTGTGTGTTTTGCTCCGGTCAACCTGTAGAGGAGGAAACGTTGATCACAATGGTGGAAAAATCACATCGAACGAGAATCGGGAAGGGCTTCATCGGAGGCGAAAATCGAAATACCCCGCGACAGAGGCGTTTTCCGGCCAATTGGCCGGTGCTTTCACTCCTATTTGGCCATGAGTGGGTTTGGAATCAAATTCTAAGCAAAAGGTAGAATTTTTACCTCGTTTGACGGCCGAAAATTGCTCCGATGCAGCGGTGGATGGCGGCGGTCGGCTCCCTGGCGGCTGGGCTGTCTTCTTCGGCGAGGGGCTCTAGCGGTTAGGGTTAGGGTTTGAGTACGGATGAGATTATTTATACCCATCCGCTTTTGATCTAAGCCATCCATCATTTTTAATCTGTATCGTCCGATCGCGATTAAATAGATAGTGAATCTGAACCGTTCATCAGGATTCAATCTGAGCCGCCTGTGCGCGATTCAATTTGGGCTGTCTGTACGCGCGGTAACGAATCTCATCTGTTCGATTGCGCGCGCGCGGATCGCCCACGTGGCTCCCTTCTACGTGGCCTCCCGCGTCAGCGTCTCTGCCACCTGGCACGTCCTAGTTGGTCGGGACTACTAACCGGGCAGCTGACGTGACGTAATTTTTCTAAATTGCGTTTTGACATCTGATTTCTGATTTTTTTTTTCAAAAATACAATCAGAATTCAAATTTTAACCCATTTTTTTTAAAATTATTTTCAATTAAATCCCTAACTAATTTTTTTTACATTTTATTATTATTATTATTTTCATTAAAATAAATTAATTTAAATTAAATTTAATTAATACATATTTTATATTTATATAAAATTAATAAAAATAATAAAAACAGTTGGGTGGTACAGTTAGATTTTAGAGAAAAAAAGGAGTTAGGCTAATTGAAAGTGGCACAAACCATTCCATTTCCAACTTAAAATTCATATCTTAAGGGGAAAAATCTAAAATGGTTTTATTATATTTAAATACATTAACAAAGCATGTCAAAAATATATCGGATTCATCAGTAGTATAGTTCCAAGAAAAAGCAAGAATAGCAATTAAATCAACAAGAAACGAATATTCGACTCTGTCCAAAATTTTTTATTTTCTCATGATTTCGATCAACAGTTGAAAAACAAATCTTCAGATGAAATTCTACAAAGCATTTCTTTAACTAAACACAGGAATTTAAGACAGTACTAAGCATGATCTGGAGCTAGAGTAAAGGCCTCATCCCATTCTGTAACTTAAGATCACATTTTTACATGTCTATTCCTAGGTAAATGCTAAATGTGGAGGAGCCTTTCACCATTTTACTAAGCCTTTTATCAAAAAGTAAGAACAGGGTGCATATCTGGATCATGCAGCCATACCACTTGGCTCCTGGCTCCTGGATTTGCCTTTGCGGTTCCAAATTGGAGTTGTCTCGATTAGTTTATGAGGAACGAGTTGTCTTTCCCGCTTAGTGAGCTTGCGGAAATTGTGAACTCTCAACCTGGCTATCTGAGCCTCTTCTTCAGGTGTCATTTCTCTCACTACAACAGTCAATCGACACTCTGGTCTCACTTTCAGTCCACATTTTCCCTTAGCATGGTAGGAAATTCTCTTTTTAAAAAACCCCTTTCCAACGAATGCCTCAGCTGTATTGAAAGAAAGAATACAGAATATAAGATAAAATTTTTTTTCACTGAGCACGGGCATACTTGGATTACTCACCAACAAGAAGGCGTTCAGGATCCAACCCATGATTGTGGGTAGCATTTGCTCGGGCAGAGTGGATTACCTGTGAAGCACAGAGATTAATCACACTGCTAAAATATTCTATAAATGGAAGTTCATCATTGTTCTCTCAAAATTCAAACATACTTCCAAAAATGAAGACTAGAAAATGAGCCAAATAAGTTCATCTATCAGAGATGTAGAAATTCACTCAAAACTCAACAGTTATGCACAGAAAAGTAATAAAAAGCTTTTGCAAGACAACAAAAGCAATTCAAAAGGATATGAAGAGAAGACAAAAGTGGCCTTTTTCCAGATCTTGACACCTGGTTATCTTATTAACAAAATTAGTTCAGTCAGAGACTAAACTTTTTGTTTCAAAATGCGTAAGCATACAACCAACTTGGAGAGACATGATAGTAAAAATAACCTGATAGACAGTTTTTGAAGCTCTTTTGACAGTCACTTGCAATTGTAGCAATGCATCTTCAACACGCATACCACGAACTAATGCAGCAACTAAGTTGATCTTCTTGGGACTCTGAACCCAGCAGGTAAAATAAAGTTAATGAAAGAGTACATGAACTAGCAACTTTAAAGCTACTCACAACTTCAAAAAGAAAATTTACAACAGGAAAGCAATTAAGCTCCATCAGTACAAGGCGTTTTGTCTTTGGACAAACATCAGCATTAGGCATTGTATTCTGATATCTAGAACTCATCATTCAGTAACAAATAAACATTAGATCAGGCTCTTCTAGCAGTTGGAAGTTTAAATGCCTAATACAAAAATTTCAGAGGTCATATTTTTTTAGGAAGAGAAACAATAATAAGAGAAAAGCACCAAAAGGGTCCCACATCTTGCCCTGAGTGGCCAGGATTGATAAGAGCCACTTCAGGTGCAAAAACAGCAGAATATTACAAATCCGTCAAACCTGATTCAAACAGAAGTTGGCGCCAAATTTAAGATTCAGAAAAGGCTTTTCATAGAGTATTTGAATTCACCAGTTACAAATGAGGTCATAAAAAAAGCATATATCTTACAAGATTAAATCCGTCCAATCATTTAACAACTACAAAGATGCAACAGTAATAACTCAATCAGATGCTTAATATTCCATATTATATAATTCTAATCAATGTGTTACACATAGCATTTTAAACAAGCTTGTTTCAACATCTAATAGATAAGCGGTATATCATGGATATTATATTTATCCAAGAAGAGATTCAATTATCACAAATATGCCCTTCTATTCATATTAGGAAATGAATAATTAAAGGTTATGGAAAATCATGACCAGTGATTGGGCTCAAATGTCATGGCATAAAGGTAAAAGACTCCAGACTTAAAATGGTTACTTTATCTTTGAGTGCAGTTAGATGATATCCAAATCATCCTAAAAAATGGATTAGAAGAAGAAAGCTTTATTTGGAATCCCGCATCAAGAAGATAAATCCTATTTCATGAAAATGGGAAGTTTCCATCCTAACAAGAATAACAAGACAGAAATACCCCACTTGCAAAGAATTATGATATGGTTTACACCAGATAACAAAGAACAACAATGCGTGGTTCGTAAATTATTTGATGTATAGTAGGACTTATATTCCGACCTGTTTTATGTCCTTTAATATTGCTTGAACTTTGGAGGGTTTAGACGCAGTCTTCTGCTCTTCTGCTTTCCCACTACCTAATGCCAAAACTGGCATCAAAGGGGATGGAATGGGAGTTTCCTCTGATGAAGCAGCTAGTAACTTTCTTGAACTGGAGATTCCCTGTAGACTAAAAGAAGTCATGCCAGTAGCAAACAAAACAGCAAGAAGGAACAAGTCAAAAGTCATGATCGCAACAAATAAAAAGGTAAGCTGGAAAGAGAGTCCAAATCCTCACACGTGATATAATAACCCCTATCTGAAACAACTATCTGAAGGTGGATTTCCCAAAACTATAAATAGAACTTCAAAATCATGTTATCACACTAACATCAACCTGCAGGCGGTATAGAAATATGCAGAGTATTTCAACTTATTTAGATTTTTGCCAAAAAAAAAAAAAAGAGAAAACAGTGTCCAATATCTGAAATACTGGTAGCTTTACACAATCAAGGAATTGGATGTCAGACCCCTTTTTTTTTGGCAAAACCACCAATAAAATCATACTTTCAAGTTTCAGATAGAACCCCCCAACAGGAAATAACAGTAACATAAACACCATGTTATTTATATAGACAGTCACCGATGAGTAAATATAGTACCAGTCTGATGTCAGATACATAAATATACATCTTTTTAAACTATAAAACATGCAAATATGTTATCCCACTGAGTTGTTTCTCTTGAATTGGATTATTCTTTGGAACACAAATTTTGAAAAAAAAAAAACATTTGAGCATGTAATCCAGCTTGAGACAGTATTTTTCCAATCAATTTCCGCAGACTTGACAGGAAGAGGCTTACTATCCATGTCCAGTAATAGTAATCCATGGGAAAATCTAAAACAGTGCTCATACACTTTTAAATAACAGGAACAACGTTCACTAAAACAATGCACAAGCGACACCAAACTCAAATAAATAAATTAGGTGGCATAAAGAAAAGGGCAAAGTAAGTATAACATTACCAGCTGCTGTATATACTGATACAAAGGCCTTGAGCCCATCAAAGAAGGCTGTTTCCATGTTCTCTTTAAAGATGGTAATTCACCTGAAAAATTAATCCATATCATTAAACCCTCAAATATTAAAGAAATACCTGTCGACCAGTAGATCAATAACATTTTCAATCTGATTCTGGATCAAGAACAGCATACTAACAAAGTCCGTAACCTTCTTAACCATCTAACTAATTACTTAAAACCTTTAGTCTAATATCAAAAGAGTAACAATGACCCCAAAAGATGATTCAGTCAGAAATAATCTGAGACAAACTAACCAGCAGGCAAAAGAGAGGATTCCACAGTAGAACAAGAAAAGTTAGCAGATGCAGTATAATTGTAATCCACTCTCCTACAAGCTCGACGAAGCACGGACTGCAAATGCCTCTGCCAACCCGCCATGTGTTCCAAAAGACTACCCAACAAATCACTCTACACCAAAAAATATCAACAAATCACTCTTTTGATTCTCAATCTCACAGCTTGAGCCCTCTCTGTTTCTCCTTTCCCATTTCTGTCTCTCACACCAGCCTCCTCCAATCCCTCTTGGCCTCACAGGCCACCTATTCTTTCCGATCCTTTTTCACTGTGATAATTATCTTTCTTTTTTCAGTTCTTAATCTCAATCTTCATACTCGGTTCGAAATGGCGATGCAGAAACCCTACACGGGTTCCATCTATTTCAGTTTTAATAGGAGGAGGAAGAAGACGCTTCGACGTCGTCGTTTCGAGGGAAATTTGGGGGCTGGGCCTGCCTGTTTCTGGATCGATAACTTGGTTTCGCCCTCTCTTCGTGGAACTGGAGTTTTGCGTTTTAAACGCTGCGTTTAGGAATTTTACTTCAGACAGAGTATTCGTTTGGATACATTTTCTCCATTTAAAGAAATATTTTTTAATTAAATGCATAAAATTAAAAATGGTTTTATCTAAATTTAAAATCAAAATATTTTTTTATAAATTTAAATATAAAAGCTAGAAATGTTAATTTTTTTTATAAATAATTTATACATGAACATTTTTGTTATATTTTTAATTAATTTAAAAATTATATTTTTATGTGTAAACTTAGAAAAATCTAATTAGAATAATATAAAATATATGTATAAAAAAATTAAACTGAACTCAAATAATTTTTATTGATAAAATCAGTCTGTTTAAATATAACAGAAATAAATAAATGTTACAAAAAATAAAATAATTATTAATTCAATAAAAAAATTACTATTTTACAAATTCATGATAGCTAAAATTAAGAGTGCATTACTCCATGATTAAAACATTATTTCTTCATAATTATTAAATTAAATTACCATTAATAAATAATTAATAACTCTTAAATATATAATAAAATATTAATAAAAATAATAAATAATAAATAAAAATAATAATTTACTTTATTAAAATAATAAATATGTTATTATTATTGATACGTAATAACTAAATTTTTATTTTAAAAATATAAATAAATAATCTACTAACGTATAAAAATAATAATCGTATTAGTTAAATTATAAAGAAATAAAATTATGTCTTATAAATATTTATTTTTAATTTTTAGCTTTACTCCGATTAAAGCCCGAAAAAAAAAATCTCACTACTAACAAAGAAAATTTTTAGGATTTATTTCGAATATAATAAAAAATAAAAGTAATAACTTGATAATTTAAGCACAAAAAATTAACTCTTATTTGATTTTGAAATATCACAAAATATTCGTGCTTGGAAACAAAAAAAAGTAAAAATTTGAAAATTGGTCAAGATGTTTATGAATCATTATAATCAGTTTGATCCGACGGCTGTAATTCATGAATCATTACGATCAGTTTGATCAGAAGGCTGTAATTGATGAACATTACAATCAGTTTGATCCGACGGCTGTAATTCACAGGAAGACCAACTCCTCAATCACTAGCCAATCCAGTAAAAGAAACTGGCGAAAGTTAGAATAGCACTGTCCTTCCATTACCCGGCTGGCAGTGGGGGCTTGACTCGGTTGGAAGAGAAAGAAAACAAAAACCAAATCTTTGTAGTTGATCTCCGAAGAAATCAGCGAGTGACGATGGATGCTCTGAGAAAACAAGCTAGTAAATTCAGAGAACAAGTTGCCAAGCAACAGCAGGTGATAATCCGCTACTTTTCTCACTTTTCATTTCTGAATTTCATGTTTTGGCTCATTTATTACTGAGGAGCCTTCTGTTTGGTGAGCGAGGAAAATGTAGCGACACCAGAGAAAGGTAAATGAAGAGTTGGTTTTATAGTATCTTCTTTTTGGATTGAAGTTGAGATCAGAGGTGAATTGTATACTGGTGTTTCCTTATCATAACTATGTTATGATTTCACCCATTTTGATTTTCTGGATCACAAAAATTGTGATTTCGTTAAATCTTGTGGACTCTGTGGTTTAATGTTGTTTTGGGAAGTGGAAACCAGCTTGTTATAACTTTTTACTATATGCAGATATTTTATATCAGTAATTCTAGATTTAGAAACGTTCTATAAACTAATCCGTCTGTATAAGGGGACATTCAAGTGAACCAAACTACTCAATTGTTTGATTTGCATCATTTTGTGCAAGAGAGTTTATGGAAGTCTTAGCCAAAGTGAGAGTAAAAGCAATCTTAAACACTAGGACTCGAAAAACATTAAGATATCTAAACAACTAGTAATCATTAAAATGGAAATAACCTAAATCTTAATTAATGTTTAACACTTTCTTTATGCTCCTGCATCATGATTAGTTTCTGTTATTGCCAATTTATAATTGCTTTGTTGGTTGTGAAAGAGAGTAATTGTTAATAATGTTGTGTTTATATGGATATCAGGCTGTAATAAAACAATTCGGGGGAACTGGATATGAGAGCTCAGATGTAGTGGTAATTGATGAGATTGAGATGCAGAGACATCAACAATTGGAGAAATTGTATAGATCTACTCGTGCAGGAAAGGTAGAAATGGATTTTCTGTTTATATATGGATTTGTTGAAATTCAAAATTACGAAGGAGTTTCCTTTGTTCTCTTGATAAATAAACAACAGCTGATTGGGCTTTCTTTTAAACTAGGATAAAGTTTTTATTCTAGTTGAATTAACCATAAGGAATGTATGTGGAATTTTTCATTTTACTTTTAAAAATGTAAAGAAATTAGCATAGAAGTACAAAAAAGTTGTTCTAGTGCTTCTATCAGTGATTTATAGCGTGGCTAGAAAACAAGTGCTATAATTTTTTGGGATCTTGCACTCGGTGAACCCATGGTATGGAAAATAAGATACAAATGTGAGATAAAGTAGAATATCTGATGCTCAGAAACCAACTATTCAACTTTTCTTCTTATGGCGTTCTTTTACTTTCTGGGTCAATGATTGTTACTTGGCTCACTAATGTAGTTAGGTTTTCTTTATCATTTCCTATTCTTCTTATATTGGCTTTCCAATATCTGGGATTTGCTTCATTTTGTCTTTTATTTTTGATAAAAAAGCTTCTTGTCTTTATTAGATTTTCTTATCAATGTTACTCATTCGTAATTTCAGGATTTCCAGAAAGATATTGTCAAAGCAGCAGAAGCATTTACGGCTATAGGGTACAAGCATATTGAAGCAGGTGATTTAGCAAATTCATATTTTTGTGAATTACATTCTAGTGTCATACTAGACTTTCAATTAGATTAAAGGGAGAATGGAACGATACCTTGTTAACATTCGTTTTTCGGTTCTGAACTTTAAACTTGGGGGCTATAACATTTATGGTGGTGTTACTAAAACGAGAATTTGTGGTGGTCAGGAACTAAGTTGTCTGAGGATTGCTGCAGATATGGGGCTGATAACAGTCAGAACATCAATGAAAACGTTCTAGCTAAGGCTGCAGCCATATACGGCGATGCTAGGAAACATGTAGAAAAGGAGCAAGAAGACTTCAATAAGCTGTTATCTTCACAGGTTGGTTCTTGTATATATTACGGGTTAAATAATAGTTATTACAATATTTCAAAAAAAAAAATTATTATTACAAATGCTTTTCAGTTGCAATCTTTGTTGGCATTTGCCTGATTATTCTATTGAATGCAAGTTATTTTTTCTGAAAGAAAAGTATTATTCATAAGACAACAAGGAGGCATCACCCATATACAAGTTATGCAAAATCCTAGGAAGAAGGCTAAATTTCTTTCAGTTCAACAAGCTCTCCATCAAGTACTTGATGTTTTTCTAGTGCATAAAGAAGAAAGAGAACTCTCTTGGCTTTCCTTTTGGCTGCTACTGAGTTGCATTTAGATATTTATGCCCCAAGTTATACTCAAATGAACTATGATCAATGGGCAGGGGTCAACTTCTCAACGTTTTTTTTTATATGTCTCCTACCCCCAGTGAGCATTGGAGCTTTTTCTGGTCTTATAATTAACTTGAAGAAATTGAACTGGTGGCACTCGAGAAAAGAGTTGATGTGGAGGCTTGCGTGATGGTTCTTGGGTGTAAATTCAACAATCTTCATTTTTAGTATTTGCAGGATCTAGGTTTAAAGATTGCGTCATCTGAGAACCATTGTCATTAAAAATGAAAAGAAGTTTGTCAGTTGGCACCAAAGGTATCTTACAAAAGGTGACAGGGCCACTCTTATCTTGCATGTTGGAAGTGTGTTCTTTTTACCCGTAAGTGGGAGGATCATTTTTATTCAAACGTGTCTAGTATTTTCTTATATCATCTTTCTCTTTCTTCCTCTAATATATTTATATTGTTAAAGCTGAAATAAGGTTCAGGCTGAAGTAATCGAGCGTCTAAAGTGTGTGATGAGGAATTTCTTATGGGCTCGGTATGGGGAGGAAAGGTCAGTACGCTTGTGAATTGGTAGGTTTGTTGTAGTTCTAGAATTTTTGGAGATTCGGGCATCGGGAATTTAAAATTGATGAATTTTTCATTGTTGGTTAAGTGGATGTATTGTTTCCAGCAGGAACCTAATTCTTTGTGGCATAAAGTAATAAAAAATATTCGCGGGAGTTAGTGGAATGGATGGGATGTAGTGGCCACCGAGATCTACCTAATAGAAAAGTTCTTGGAAGGCCATTTCCAGCTTGCTAGACCTTTATACACTTTTTACCAGATATGAAGTGGGGGATGGTTCCAAGGTCCTTTTTGGAGGATCATTGGAGGGTGACTGCCCCTTGGGTACCCAATTTCCACTATTATTTTGCCTCTCCTTCTGCCACAAAGCACTGCTAGGCTTATATATTCCTACTCTTTTATCTCAAAAAAAAAAAGCACTGCTAGGCCAGCTCTTTTCCCTTTCTAATGGTACTCTAGATTGGAATTTCCATTTTTTTTGAAGCCTGAATGATACAGAAACTGAAGAGCTCCTCAACATGTTAAGCCTTTTAAATTCTGTCCAGGCTTCTCAACCATCAGATTGTAGGGTGTGGACTAGACTCATCTGGGACGTATACTTGCAATCTTTTTTTTATAACATTACCAACAATGATGATTGCTAACATAACACATTTACCAAGCATTTTGGCAAGTTAAGGTTCCTTTAAAGGAAAATGCGTGGATCGCTGTCCTGAATTGGTTAAACACTAACAAGTTGTTGCAAATTCGTATGCTTAACTGAGTTTTGTCTCCTGTACATTTCTGTAATGCACTACAATGGCAGGGATGCATACAATCATTTTTCCTGCATTTTGAGATAGCCTGGAAATTATGGAGTAGGCTATTTGGCACTTTCGACCTAGCTTGGGTTACCCCTACTTTATTGGAGTGGTCTTTTAGTTCTAGCATCCGTGGTCTTAGGCTTAGGCTGAAGGCTAGACTGTTATGGAAAGGAGTACTTTTCTCAGAACTATGGACGATTTAGTTGCAAAGAAATCATCGAATATTTGATAATCATTCTTTTCCAGACTCGATCCTTCAGGAGAAAAATGACCGTCTAGGCTTGACTTTGGGCTAAGGCTCATGGGAATTACTTGAGATATCTCTGTCTGTTTTCCATAGGAGTTGAGATGCTATAGTCACATGACAAGTTGTGGTTTTTATCCATTGTTTTGTTATACTTTGTTTTTGTTTTGTTCTCTTTTCCATCTTTTCTCAGCTGGATATTTTATCCACTGTAGTTTTTGAGATGTTCCCTTCTTTTCTCAATAATACTTCTCTTCTATTAAAAAATTAATCTGCAAGGTTATAAGCACACAACCTGTTTGTCATATATCCATAGGTTCTAGATCCCCTAAGAGCCATGATTGCTGGTGCTCCTTTGGAGGATGCTCGTCATCTTGCACAACGCTATAGTCGAATGAGACAGGAGGCAGAGACACAGGTACAATCAGAGAACTAGCCCCCTGTATATTGCTGTTATTTGTTGCTATTGCGATTTAATTGTCACAGCCACAATTAATATTTATTTTCATATTGAAAGAAAATTTCTTAATATTTCTTTAAGTGCTCATAATCCTTAATGAATACAAAAAGCATACAGACAGCAGAACTTTCTAGAAGACAAGCACGAATACGAGAAGCTCCAGTTCCGGAAAATGTTGCAAAATTGCATGCAGCAGAAGCGAAGATGCAGGAGCTAAAAGCAAATATGGCTGTTCTGGGTAAGGAAGCTGCAGCTGCATTGGCTGCTGTAGAAGCACAGCAATGTAGACTAACTTTTCAGAGGCTTGTTGCAATGGTAATATGCATCTCACACTTGCAGAATGAGTTTTATTTTCAATTTTTTCTGTATGTTAATTATCTTCATGGATATTCATGAAGGTTGAAGGAGAGAAGAACTATCATTTAAGAATTGCTGCTATTCTTGGCGATGTTGAAGCTGAGGTCAGTTGCAAGTTTTACTTGCTTCTATGGGGAGAATACTTTCCCTTAAGAAATTTAAGCTTATTCTTTGTTCTGCAATTTTTGTTAGGTGCTATCAGAGAAACAGCATAAAGAATCTGCTCCTCCTATGATTCCATCAGAGAGCTACTCGGAGAAAACGTTATACTACTTGGCTGAAGTAAGCTTTCTGTATCTAACTTTAAACATTATACTACTTGCTGCTGGACAGAGAGTGGATGCAGTGCTGTTGAACAGAGAGTGGATGCGTTGCTGTTGGATGCATCACAGCTCATGGCGGTGCGAGCAGTCTGAAGTGCGCAACCAAGGGACCTATGCGGCTAAGTTTTATTTCTATGCAACCGAGAGACAAATATGCGTTTGGTCGTGATAGAGAGCAACACTGCGACTGAAAAGTTGCGTCTCTACAGAGAGCAACGTCGCGTCTGAAGATGCGGCTCGTCTGGTCACGACAGAGGAAGTCGTTCGCATCTATTTATGATGAAGGCGATCAAGAGAACTGTGTGCCGCTTGGCTGGGCGAACTGGATCTGGCAATGAAAGCCAGTCTTGGTGGAGATGGCTGGCAACAACGTCAGCTTGTGGTGGAGATAGCCAGTCTGTGGTGGCTGGTGGCTATGGTTGTGGTGGCTGGCAATAAAGGCTGGTCCTTTTAGGGTTTTTTTATTTCGACAATGAAGGCCGGATAAGATTTATAAAATAGTTTAGAATTTCTTAATCTAAGTTCTAATACCATGTTAAGAATGGTTTGATTTATGTTTATTGAATATTACATTCCTACATATACAAGTTTTCTGAAATGGAAAAGAAAATAGACAATTAGTTACAATTAATTACAAATGGTGTAGTTTTTATAATTATATGCTTTAACCTAATTTACCCTCTCTTTCCTATCACACACAAGATCGGGCATTGTCTATACAATTAGTGTAATAAGTCAGTTCATCTACAACCCTAAAGAAGTGCACTTATATGTAGTTTATAGAATACTACATTACCTAAAAGGAACATCCAAAAAAGATATCATGTTCATAAAGAATGATAAATTTGTTCCTGAAGTCATACTATTGCAGATTATCCAGGGCCAATGTTGGACAGAAGATATATCACAAGTTATTATATCTTCTTTGGGAGTAACTTGATTACCTAGAGGAGTAAGAAGCAGAATGTAGTTGCGAGCTATTGTTGCTAAAGAGAATTTTAGACTATCTAAGAATCAAGTGATAGCCCCTTGCACCTGTACTATGTCAACAAATTGGCTAGACATTGTTCAACATGGTACAACACTATAAAACCAAACATATTGATGTTAACAAACACTTCAATATGTACTCTATATATGCCCACCAACTTACAGTTTGTAGATGTATTAGCCAAACACTTGAGTAATTCAACATTCCAGACTATTATTGGAAATTTCAAACATATTGAGATTACCAGACACTTCATTAAGGAGAAGGTAGACAGTGACTTAATATGTACTCTATAAATAACTACCAGCTTACAACTTGAGTAATCCAGCATTCTAGACTATCATTGGTAAGCTGGGGAGAGACAATATCTAGTTTCCAGCTTGAGGGATGTTGTTAAAGAGTGTATTATATGTGAGTAGGTTAAGGGGTACTAGGGTAAAATATACCCTTTGTGATTAATTTTCTATTTCTTTTTCTATTCTAGAATATTTGTATATATAGGGTCATCATATTCAATAAAATACACATTCAACCATTCTTAATATCAAAGATATATCTTTAGTCATAATAGTTCACAAATTCATTGTACCATGACTCTAATTCTGCTTCAGCACTTGATCTTGCAACACGATTTCTTACTCCTAAGTGTCACCAGATTACTGCCAAAGAAGTACAATTGCCTGATATGGATATCCTATCTGCTATACAGTTGGAGTAATCTGCATCCATATAAGGTTCAAAATTATACTTGTTTTTTCTTTTCAAGCAAGATCCCTTTTCTAGGTGTGGCCTTAAGACAGAATAGAATTTTATAAGCAGCTTTTAGATTTTTTTATCTTCCTTAAGATCATGCATGAATTGATTTATGATGCTTGTAACATAAGCCATATCCAGCATGGTGTGAGAGAAGGAATCAATCTCCCAACCCATCTTTTATAGTTTCTTTGTGTAAAATTTTACATATTCCTCTTCACCCAGCCTATAATTAGGCTCAAAAGATATGCTAGTTGCATTTCAGCCAAGTGTTCTAGTTTCTGTGAGGAGAGATCAAACACATTTCTGTTGGAAGACATATGCATCTCTTGGACTATGCTACTTCACTTACTAAAAAATATTTCGAGTTTCCATGTTCGTTAAACTCAAATTTTTTAGCTTGGAATTTCTGAGGGAATCTCCTTCAACTGTCGTTTTACAATAATGTCATCCACATAGACAAACTTTGACTTTCCCTATGGTTGAATGCTTTTTAAAGAGGGTAGTTTGCTTGGCTTTGTAAAGACTATTGCTAGCGTAACCTTTACAAATCTTTCAAATCATGCATTAGGGGATTACTTCAAGCCATTTAGAAATAATTCAAGTCCATGTCATGAACATCATGACATTATCAACAGTAGTGGTGAAGAAATGGACTCAATACTTAGTAGGATTCTTTGATTGCTTGGGTTTGGAAACTGGCGCCTCTATTTATTAAGTAGACTTGAAGTGGCACAGTAGTATTTAGAGTA